CTGATGATGCAGCCATTGTTGCCCACTCTGCTGAAGACCTCCAACAACTCATGAATCGTTTTAGCAATGCATTTAAAACAACAGAGCACAACAGTCCATTTAAACACCCTTTCAGACCATCAGTGATTAAGGAGAAGCCTGCCTGAAAGGAAAGGTCTTTCCTTGCCTGCGGAAGGACAGCAAAGGTGAAGTCAGCCTAGCTTCCTGTGGGAAGGAGTTCCAGAGTCTGGGAGGAGTGATGGAGAAGGCCCTTTCCCCTGTCCTCACCAACCACAACTGTCAGGGTGGTGGGACTGAGATAAAGGGCTCTTCTGATGGTCTTAATGCTCAGGCAGGCTCATAGTGGGATATGCAATCTTTTAGATAGCTTGGACCCAAGCTCTTTAGGGATTTGGAGGTTAAAACCAGCACTTTGAATTGTGCCCAGAAATGAACCTGCAGCCAGTGGAGCTGTTGTAACAGGGATGTTACATGTTCCCTATAACCAGCCCTAATTAACAATCTGGTTGCAGAAGTTTGGACCCTTTGGAGTTTCTGAAAACTTCCCAAAGGCAGCCCCACGTAGAGTGTGTTACAGTAATCCAGCCGAGAGGTCACTGAGGCAAGATCAGACCTCTCAAGAACCCAGCGCCTAAAAGGAAAACTCCTAAGGGACACAGGGCTGTCTCTGAGGCTCCAGGCCCTGGAGCGCCAGTATGGTACTCACTTCATCTGTTTGACGATTGTGCTCTTGCCCGACTCTCCAGCACCTGGAAGAAAGGAAAGGAAATGGGTTAATGGTGTGATCTGGGAAAGGCAGGCTGACACAAGGGTGTTTCTGTGTTCTTTTCCAAAGAGAGAGGCATGTTAGTCCGCTGCAACAAAATTGATGAGTCCTGGGGCACCATGAAGACTAACACGTGTACAGTACTGTATTATGAACTGCTGGATAGCTCAGGAGTTGAGGTCTCCGGCTGCAGAGCCTGAGTTTGGGAGTTTGATTCCCCACGATGCCTCCTTGACAAGGACTGCACCTGATGATCCATGGGGTCCCTTCCAGTTCTGCAGTTCTCATATTATTAGTTGTCTATTACTTGTTCTCTTTGGAATTAGCCTTCCACTGCCAAGGTCACCACTGGAAACAGAGTCAGATGTTATATGACTTAGCTTACTCATGTCAGTAAATGCAAGTACCTGCTCTTAGTGATCGCAGAACATCATAAGAGGGGGCTTATAAAGGAGAGACAGTGATCACAGAAAATCTGTCACCTTCTCCTTGACCTTTTCATGAGTTGACGGTTCATGTGGGCTGAATGTGGCTGCTAGATTCTCTGATCCAGTGGCTCAAGCAACCTGTGAAATGTTATGGGTCCAACACAAGGGCCTTGGGCAAAGGCTGGAAACATTGCTTTTTTTGGACTACAACTCCTGGAATCCTCCAGCCAGTGTGGCCAGTGGGAGTTTCAAATGTCCGCTACTAAATCAGCATACATTGTGTTTCTGTGTAGCCCACTGCCTAAAGGGTTTGGGATTTTTTCCCTGGAAATATAATGGAATGGGGCTTACAACCAACTTATTGTTCTAAATATTGTCATTGATTTCCTCTCTCTGTGTGTGTATGTGTGGTGTGTGTGTGTTACTTTCTGTGCAGGTGCTAGACCCATACATGTGGGGATTAACTTTTTTTTTAATGCCCCGGTTCCATTAAAAACCAAAACAAATCTGAATGAACTCATCGAAATTTCAAACTACTCCAGGATAGGATCCTTCTTGCTGATGTGCAAGCCTTTCTTATCTGCTGGAGGTCTTTACAAGAAGCGGGGAAATGTTATGAGATGGCACTTATTACTTTGCATTTGGGAGCAATACAATCTATTATACCACCACCCCCTCTGTTAGGTGTGTCAAATAGGTCTTATATTTTAGCAGGCACAGCTCTGTAGCTTATGGGTGCTGAAACAAGCGTTGGGAGGAAGGTCACATCTTGCTTTAAAACGGTACAGGGCTCTAACACAACTGCCTTCTTTGTGGGGTTCTCTGACTCCTGTATGAGCCTAGCACCTGGGTAAAGCCATGTCCAGGACACTGTATAGCCAAGCTGAATTTTTGGCAGGAACCCTACTGCCCACACTCATGCTCCACTAGGTGCCTCCTCAGTACCTTGCCCTTCATTCCTTTCTTTGATTGATAGAGCAGTTGTTGTTAAATGTTGCCAAATCAAACCCGACTTATAATGACCCTAACAGAATTTTCAGGGTAAAAAAGATATTTAACACAGTTTTACCACTTCCACTCCCCTAGTCCGTTTCCACATCTGAGTGGGGATTTGAACACTGTTCTTCTGAGTCCTAGTCCACCACTCTATCCACTACACTACACTGGGAATTCAGTGTTCGGAATATTCTTGGTCTATGGGCATCCATATCATGTGCTGTTGAAATATGCACACTGCAAAGGGTGGCAGGGTTCTTGCCAAAACCAAACTCAGTTCTGGCATGTTTCAGATGAGGCTCTATGCAAGTGCAAGACCCCTTGGCGTTGAGTCCACAGATGACCATCCAAAGAACCACAGTCACAGGTAAGCAACCTGTTGTTCTGGAGCTTGTTGTCTTTCAGATGTGCTCGACTATGGCTCCTAGAATCCCCTCCAATTACACATTTATATCTATATCTGCAATATAGGTATAAATAGGAAGGAGTTACTCTGAGTATGCAATATATTCCTGCTAAAACTGTAATGTGTGAGACAGAAATAAGAGAATCTCTGCCCTCCCAGCCCCGTGTTTCTCCTTCATTAGACAATGGAAAATGTGCTTGTATTTGCTGCTCTGTCAAAACAGACAGACATTCATGGGCCAGAATAAAAAGTGAGACCTCTCTATTGTTTATTAAGTACACGGAAATTTCCCACCTTCCCAGACTTGGTTGGAACTATAATGCCAGAAATATTTTTAGATACGTATGTTAGAATGTAGGCTAGAAGATAGGCTTTTAACTTGTGGTCGTCAGTCCCCCGGTGGGCTGCAGTGCCCTCACAAGGGGTTCCTTAAGGCTTGAAAAAATGTTATGATTTTTTTTTGGCACTTAAAATAGGAAGAAAGGAAGAAAGAAAAGGAAATGTAGAATAAAAATCTTAGTTTTCCTTGCTTGCTTGTGTAAAACTCTGCATTTCTAAAGTACCACCCCCATTAAAAACAAACAAAAGAAAAATAGGTTAGGAAAATAACTAATTTGATTGCAAAGAACTGTTTGATATTTGTCCACACAGTGAGAACGTGCAAGTGAATGACACTAAGTAAATGTCAGTGTCATTCGTGCTCTGAGAGACAGCACGTGACATTTCTTGCTGCTGTGCAGACAGTCAGAAGCTTCAGGAAGAGACAGTCCGAGTCAGTCAGTGTCACTGTGAGTGAGTGCTCAGACCGATTTTGTGCTTGTGTTTCTTTTGTGGTTTTTGCTAATAAAACTACTTGATTATTGTTGAGTAAAGTGACTTCTCGATATTACCACAGTGAATTTCATAACAATACATTAAGTCTTGGTGGTCCATGGCAACAAAAAAATATTTAAAAGGGGTCTGTGGTAAAGGAAAAATTAAGAACTGCTGGGCTGGAGAGTTAATTTCAAATTTATTAACAGCAGCAGGATTAATGATAGCTAAGAATTGGAAAATAAAGTATGATTCCAATTCAATGAATGGTTGTATGGAATATAGCTATTAATGATAAGCTAGCATGTAATATTAAAGTAAAGAAGGGATTGTTAAAAGGCATATTTCATAGCTATCTGGAAAGAATTTATTGATTATGTGTTAATAAAAGGGAAGGGAAGTGCATCCTCCCAAGAGCTGTTACATTTTTGGAAGGGGAATGGGGCTTCACGAAGGAATAACAACTGGTTATATCTCCAATGGTCCTGATTGGGAGAAGGAGCACTTTTAATATAATTTTGAAATTCACGCAGTGGTTAAACCGCTGTACTGCAGCTAAAACTGTGCTCACAACCTGGGGTTCAAATCCCAGGTAGCCGGCTCAAGGTTGACTCAGCCTTCTATCCTTCCGAGGTCGGTAAAATGAGTACCCAGCTCGCTGGGGAGGGGGGCAATGTGTAGCCTGCATAATTAAATTGTAAACTGCCCAGAGAGTGCTTGAAGCACTATGGGGCGGTATATAAGCAGCACGCTTTGGTTTATAAGTTTCTTTTTAGGCTTTGTAATGTTTCCTTATGTTTATAATGTCTTTTTAAAATGTTTGCTTTTATTTATTTATTTATTTATTTATTTATTTATTTATTTATTTATTTATTTATTTATTTATTTATTT